AAAAAAAAAACCACTCAACACCCTCCTGGTGGTCCTTTATGGTAAGATTAAACTTTTACATACTGTCATGTGATTTAAAAGATAATTATTTATAAATAGAAATAAGTGAAATAAGTCAAACAACATGTGTTACATCAAGTTAATCACACTGATTTTGTGAATTTTCATTTACATTGTCAGTGGATACTAAGTTAAATATGTTTTTGTTATATAGGTTGGAATTCCATACAAGAGGCTGTTGGATACAGTGACAGTGAAATGTGGTCATTGCAGTAACCTTTCCTTTTTAAGCACTAGACCTCCACTCCAAGGCCAATGTTTTGATCACCAAAGCGCTCTTCAGGTAATTATTCACAATGCTTCTTCTTTTTTTAATTTCCATTTTTTCTGGTTTGATCAATTCTTTTAAAGGGTATATGGATCGATGTTTCATTTGTTTCTTTTATGGTGAAAGCATCAAACTTTCTTCAGCGATTTCAAGAAGGGCCAGTCTTCTTCTTCATCTTCAAGTGAACCCTCGTCACCAAAGGCACCTTTTGTTGTAAAACGTATATATGCTTTTCCTCAATCTCCCTTATAGTTTCTTTCTTTGTCTATTAAGTTTAAGTAATATACATTGTCAGTCTAAATTTTTTTATATTAATATCGGGTCACCAAAAGATATTTATCTTAAAATATGAGATTAATAATTTGAAAATAAGACCGGAATACAAGAGGTATCATTGACCTATAGTGTAAAAGAATTTTAAGAATATCGTGTCTATTTGGCTCAATAGCTTACAAGAAAACTAATCATGTTTTTTACTTTTTTTTAAACTATGGACGAAGCTCCTGAGAAGAAGCACAGGCTTCCATCTGCCTACAATCGGTTCATGAAGTAAACATCGTCTACTCTTTTTTTATTTTTTTATTACTTATTCAGTTTCATTAATTGTAATTTATTCTCATAGATTATGTTAAATTCCTATAATAATGAATTTTTTTTTTTGAGTTATTCTTAATTTATTTCATTATTATAAAGGGATGAGATACAACGCATCAAAGCAGCAAATCCAGAGATTCCACACCGAGAGGCTTTCAGTGCAGCAGCTAAAAATGTGAGTTTCACTCCCATATTAAAATAATAAACTTTGTAAGTTTACTGCCTTATTTTTCTATAACTTGTGTAGCTACTAATTAATCTAATAAAATTGTTGATATAGTGGGCTAGGTACATTCCTAATACTCCAAATGGGACCTT